TCAGGGCTTTCCGCCCCGGGTTCTTCGCTTGTACTTGGAACCGAGTATTATTTCCTGTGCTTGTGTATGTGCTCAGTGGCTGGATATGGACCTCATAGAGCAGTTCTTCAGACTCAACACTGACGGCGGAAGGGCTTGCAGCAACGCTTTCGGTTGGTGCACGGGTGCGACGACTACACGGATAAATTTTAAGATTGCTGCTAGCAAGGTGGGCCATAGTCGCTTTATGTTGACACGATTTTGAGTGTAAGTACTCCGTGCAAAGGCGAATCTATCGCGTTTCTAAACCACCTTTGTTTTTGTTGTTTTTAGCACGCACGACCGACTGCTAAGCAAATGCTTCTGTACCGATCACGGAGTGAATGTCTTCGGCCTTACATTGCGGAACGCCCAATAAAAAGTCATATTCGTTCAGCGAGAAAACTTCCCTTTCGGGTGACCTTCTGATTGGTAATTTTTCCCGTACTTAAGTGCTTTAATCAACACGATCGATTAAGTTTGCTTCCCTAGTTAGGACATTTTTGTGCTACATGCGGCACTAATGCTTGGCACGATATATGCCACTGGTGGTATTGTGAATTGGTTTACTTCCAAAGCTAACAGTGTGACAGGTGGGACCATTCAATTTGCTAAAAATGTGATGATATGGGAATTTCGTTGCATAACTAGCGTTCCACGTTTAAGATTGATAAGAAACATAACATGCTCATGTGATAATGCATGTCTACAGCATAAGTTTTGCAGATCCAGAATAGATGTGCAATAGGCTACAGCCTCAAGATTTTTAATGGTCCAAATTGGTGATTACACGGCAATAAATATTGTGGTGAAAAACTGCCCATTGACTCGGTGAGTTTTGATTGTGACCATTGGTGTGCTGTTGGCAAATTAGATAATGGCACACCTTTTCCCTGACCATCTGGCTTCAAGGGGCATTGCATCTAGATGTGCTTAAATATCTTTATTTCAAGGTTCAGTGGACCCCTCTGCATCATTACAGGAAGGCAGTCTCAAGCCACAACAAACAGCAGTGAATATACAATATATAATAACGGGCACCAGTGTCCAGGCATATAGTCCGCAGAAGCCAATTTGAGCCTAAAAATGTTTCTGTTTTGTTTAGATAGTTTGCATTTGGTGTATAATCCGCAGGGCCCGATTTCCGCGCCCAGTGCATAGTCCGCCAAGCTGGTGCGTTGTGTCTTCGTGCTTTTCTTCCTGGGTGGCATTTTCTTCAGAAGTTCTTCGGTGAACGCTATTGAGCCTGAAGAACTGCTTTTGAGGCCCATATCTCGCCACAGATCACACACAAGCACGGAAAATAACACTCGGTGCCAAGTACAAACGAAGCACCTGGGCAGAAAGCCGTGAATGCCAAACGAGCAGCGTCGGGCGACGGCGACTGACTGCGTTGCGCCCCTTCAACGCCTGCATCGCTGCGGTGGGTGGTTGTAGCTAGTCGTAGTGAGATGATCTTCACTTCAAGCAAGAAACCTTGCCATACCATAGTCAAGATATGTGTGCAAGCGTTCGACAACGTGGGCTCTCTCACGTTGGTGCAGTTGTCATCAAGAAAGGTGCATATCAACAATGTTGCGTGTTTGAGGCTGAAACTATGACGCATACTTATCTAAACCTAAATTTATCGGTCTGCGGCTACAAACATTTTCGTTGACGTTGCTTAGATGCTGTAACCATTCAGGCCTCGCATTAAATAGTGTTGCGACTCTTCGGTTCTGTATGAAAACCTATTTTTTCCCTAATAAAAGACATTTTCAAAAGGACATGTGTCTTCTGCTGATACATATCTTCCCATTTACAATGCAGAGGCAAACAGAAAATCAGCTGCATACATCTACCACTTAGCATAAGCACCTTTGGCATTCATTCTTGAGCACACTCAAATATCAGCTTAGTTTGGTCTTGTTTTAGAAGCTTTGCCCTGTTCTGTAAAAAGAAAACAGTTAAAAAAGCTTTACCTTCGTTCTCCTTCTCGCATTTAATACAGACTTCTTTGTCAGCCGAAATCACCGTGGCACATACAACTCGAATGACCGATGAGACTATCGCTATTACAATAAAGCTTTCCACAAGAGCCAGAACGAGGCTTGTAGGGGTGCACAAGCACATAGAAATGAGATTGGCGCTTCCGGGGCTTGTTTACATTACGCGTAAAAACAGGACGATCGGCGACCAGCTGATCGCAAGATAACACCAAGGATACCGATGTTTCGATACACAGAACGCAGGATAAAGACCTCAATCGTCCCTTGTATGCTGTAGTTGTCATGCTTTCTATCCAACCGCTTTTTAGCACAATGAACTAGAACAACCGAGGAGTTCGCGACACCTTTTAATGCGAGGCCTGAATGGTTACATCATCTAAGCAACGTCAACGAAAATGTTTGTAGCCGCAGACCGATAAGTTTAGTCTGAGATAAAGTACGCGTCATAGTTTCAACGCGCGAACATTGTTGATATGTAAGTACCTTTCCTTGGACCCGCGTACATTCGGTTCAACTTGATGACAGCTGCACCAGAAGTGAGAGCTCACGTCGAACACTTGCACACATATCCTGACTCTGCCAAGATTTCTTGCCTTCAATTGGCTTGAAGACTTCATCTGTAGCGTCACGGTAGGTCTTGGTTGAAACGATGATCGTCTCGCACACGGCAACAAACAGAGAATGACACGCTTTGTTTTATTTATACGCTACCGGTCTACGGGCGTCGCAAATCTATCCCCCTCTTGTCCGCCATGTTGGATCGATCGGAGCGCCCCCTATATTCGCTGAAACTCCTCAATACGAATTCGAATCGAATAGAAAGTTCCCGAATAATTCGATTCGCGAATCGAATTCCTAGTATTCGGTTCCTCGAATATTCGATATATTCTGCCAAAGACGCGCGGTGGGCGCGGAGCAAACAAAAAAGCAGTTTTTTCTCCCGATGTAAGCGCCGTGATGTTAGACAGACCATGCGAGAAACACCTCTTGGTCCGACCATTCCACAAAAATCTAACGCACAGGTTAGAAAACAGAAAAATAACGAATGCCACAAACTTTATAGCACGAAGATTTACTCACGATCATGACACAATCTACCCTTGAATCACAACTGAAACATCCCGCTTGCGCCGCTTCCAGAGAGGAATTGTTAGGAAGCCGGAATTCCGCGCCAAGCCTAATTCTTTTCACGAGTAAAACTCCTCGTTTCAAATTGAAGCGCCGATGTAAAACACACTTGCCGCACTCGCCGAAATCGGCTACTGCACCACTGCACGATCACAGAAAGAAAACCAACGTTATCGTCGTCGTTCTTTTGGAACCGCGAATTCTGATTCGGATTACGAATCAGAACGACAACTCGGTTGGTTGCGCCGACGTGGTAACGTTGGTTTTCTTTCTGTGGTCGTGCAGTGGTGCAGTAGCCGATTTCTGCGAGTGCGGCAAGAGTGTTTTACATCGGCGCTTCAATTTGAAACGAGGGGCCACTGATGAGATCAGTGCGAGGGGCTTTACTCGTGAAAAGAATTAGGCTTGGCGCGGAAGAAACGGAACGGAAAAATAATGTGCCTAGATTTGAGAGGGTTTCCAACCGCTCGATAGCCGCGTTTGAATTACGAACTGCGAGAAGGCGCCGAAAAGACGAAAGCGACGGTCGGGTTCGGGCAGGCAGACAGGCGTCGCCGCTCTTCTGTTTGTTCGCCTTCTTTCCACGCGACAACACAACACATGCGCATTCACGATCAATCTGCGATGGAGCAGTCTCTGTGGTTTCGGTTTCGGTTGCTCCCTCTTTTAAATCAAGGCTCTCTAAAACAGGATAGATAAACGGAAAAATGGATGCGTAGCGGCAGTTGGACGGTGACTTGCGCCACCTAACCACATTTCTTTTTTCTTACTTTAGACTATATCGTTTATGCCAGTTTACCTCGTTGCTGTTTACTCAGATTTAACACCTGTCTATTTATTTATGTGAAATCAAATCCCAGGTGCCATTTTCTTTCCTTAAAATGGAGACCAACTATCGCAAAATGCCCCTTTTCTGAGATATACAAATATTTAAAAAAAAAAAAAAGAAGTTGCGGTGTTAGGTTGTGTTTTTAAAGAGAAAAAAAAGGCACGCATGGCTGAAACTTTTTTCTTTTTGTGACGTTTAGGGTAGATAGATTATGTTTGCACCATAAAATTGGATCTTTAGTGCCCAACGTTCAACAGCAACTGCTTTTTTTTTTTTTTTTTTCATCGGAACTTTTTTACATTTTGGCTTTTGTTTTGTACAGGACGTATATTCTTCACCAGGCGCACACTCTGCACATATAATAATCGCATTCTCAGCACACTTTGAAAAATTCCTACGAATAAAATCACTATTCGATATTCGATTCGATATTCGGGTTTTTTTTCTTGATTCGATTCGGTATTCGATTCGAAAGCTACTATTCGGTATTCGCACACCCCTAGAAATAAACCGACGTCTCGGGCACACAGAAGAGGGTCCAAGTAAGAGGAGACTCCCTCTTTCCCCTTTTCTACAACCGCTTGAGCGATGCTCTCGTCCCCATACTTTTGTAAAGGGCCGTCACATGTTTCGCTTCTGTCGCTCTGGTTGGCTCGAAGGGGCCGCAGCGTTTGCTCTTCGCCAAGTTACGGTGAAACAAAGTACAGCACCGCATGGCATGACAGTGTGGCAAGAAAGAGTAAAAAATCTTCAAGGGAGTTCTTTGTTTTTTTCTTTCTTTCCCCTATTTAAAATTGAGTTCTTCCGAAAAATCCAAACTAGCAAAAACTTTTACTGGCCAGTGTTTTTCTAATTTTATGGGATTTATTTGAAGACCTTAGATATATCAGACACAAGCAGATTTTTTCTTTGTATGTGGAGAAGAGGGGGAGGTTTCATTTAGCTTTTAAAATAACATTCCACAAGTTCACATAGTTGCCTACAATAATATGACACAGATGAGCCTCGCCAATGCCCGATGCACCACAGCCGCCCACCTTCTGTCGCCTTGTACTCGTACTCCGGTCGCAGGCCAGGGTCGTCCCTATCCCGGCAGACGATGGTGTAGATGTTGTTTGTCACCACCTTGACGCACCTGGCATCAAGCTCGACTGGTTTGGGCATCTGGCACGTCTGCCCGTTCTTGGACGTAGACATCCTCCTCGGTGCTGCCAGCGAGACAACCTGCTTGGACGGCTCTGTTGGTTCGCCGCAAATCCCGTTTGCATCGTCGCCTGCCGTTAGTTTGGTGAAAGGTACCGGCGCGGTGTTTCGGATGTTCGGCATATCGAACCCCAGCTTCTGCAAGGGAAGGATGACGAAAATAATCCCTGGAGAAGGGGAACAAGAGGGACAAAGGACACTAACCACCGGACAGCTGGTGTCTCCTAAATAGGACAAAGGACAAACACAAATCTTCGAACACAGCCAGGTGCACCTTTGCATTCAATTGCAATATAAGAGCAAGGGAAGGAATTTGTCCCTTTGGAGTTTTTGCAAATCGTGCCCTCCCACTTGAAGTGATTAACCATGCTGCAATCCCTCGAGAAGGCTTACGACGAGAGAACATATACAGGCGTCACCTATCGGAGCTCTCCAAATCTAGACGATAGTAAGGCGTCAACTTGCCTGCAATTTCTGGCACATCAGAGCCCTTGCCAAGTCGAGCGACCGTTTCTTGGTGCTGGCGAGGGCGTCCGTCGTCACGGCGTGTGGCTCAGACAGCGACAGTCGAGCCCTCCAGTGCAGTTGGTTGTCTTGCACGGAGGGAAAATGTTTTACGTTAAAATAAGCAAAACTCTCAGAAAGTCACACTTCCGCAAATCTCGCAATCGGGTTTCGGGGGCTCTCAAATGCAGACTCAAGAAGACCTCCTTGACATCTTCTAGAGGAGCCCCCTGGCGTGAACTCTTTGGATACTTAAACTAGGCTGCAAGGGTTCTAAAGTGCAACTGCTTCTTTGTTATCACGGTGCAATATGCCAAAAAACATGGACGAAAACGAAGGAAGAACTGGATAGGACGCGGCATCCTGTCAAGTTCTAACTTCGTTTTCGTCCGCATTTTTTGGCGTATTATATTATGATGAGCAACCAACTCGCCCAAAAAGCCATCCTTGTTTGTTGTTTTCTTTTTCTCCCCTCTCTCCATCTGCCTCCGTAGGCACATGGGCACACAGGTCCCCATCGTTTCATTGACACGTTTCATGGAAGTTCATTTTGTGGACACATGCCCCAGTGACATTTCGTCGATAATATGTTTTTTGTTTGCTAAGCTGCCAAAAGCTAGCATGTCATTTACTGAGGAGTGTTTACCCAAGACTTGGGCCCCCCACTCTCTTTTCTCTCCCTCCGTAAACCAGGTGAGAAGCAAAAAGTTGGTGGCGGGAACAGAAGGTTAATGTTCGACAAAACGTTGAAAGGTCTGTCAATGAAACAAACGCAAGAAGCCTTTCGATGAAACAAACCGTCAATGAAACGTTGGATGTCGACGCAAGAATCTGTCTATGAATGTTGTTCGACAAACTGATTGCCACCATTAGCATGCTATGTAGAATCAGTTTGTGAAAGTAAGGACTTTTAAGGCTTTGAACTCCGTTTACAACACCGGCAAAGATCGGAATCAACTGCAGCAAAGCACTGCTCTACACAAGGACGTTTTGTTCATACTTAGGTTTCGAATTTTGTCCAATATTCTCTCAAATGGAAAAAAAAAAAAAAAATTAAAACTGACATTCTGTAAAATTGAGCTGAAACGGGAGCGAAAGGCTGCAACCTTCACTTGTACAGACAACGTTCAAAACAACCCCATAACAATAATTATTATTACATTTTCACTTAGAAGGGCGCAAGTGGTGGTGTGCGAGTGTAGACAGATGGGTGAAAACCCTTTCGCAGAGCGCCTGTCAGCCCGCCACCACCTGCGGAAAGCAATAACATAAACGAACTCGCGCTTAACAAGACGTAAAAACCACTGTGAAAAGCCGCGTCGTTACGCAGCTGAACTTCAGCCGAAGGCCCTCGATAAGGAAGGGCAATTTAAAACAAATAAACAGGATAAACAATGAAAGACGCCCTACCCAAAACCTCTCGCTGCACTGTCACTGTTAGCCAAGCGACTCCGTTCTTCCGAATCATTTGAGCTTCAATTTTCTCCAAAAGCTGCGCCGCGTTCGGGAAGTTCCGAAGGGCTTCTTCCGTGACCTCTGGGAAAGAAAGGGAAAAAAACGCAGTAGAGAAATGAAGAATGCAGCAGGGAGAAGCATCGTAGAAAACGCAAAACGAAAGTCTCTTCCACGCGCGGCACGAACTTTTCGCCAAAAACACATTGCTTAGAGCGCGGCATACCGTTCTGACCAACTTCCATGGTACCCTGTAATGTTTGCGGACTCGTGCATGTGTTGGGGCCGCACAAGGTTCGAACACTTTCTACGGACCTTTGGCCCGCGTACGCCGAACAAAAGCGATAAGCGCGGTAAAGTTTCGAAGAGGAAAGCATCATGTTCGGAAACCGAAACGTGCGGCCAGCGCAATCGCTACCAATCGCTACCATTCGGATCACGTGACTGCAAAAAAACAAATTCTAACACAAACATAAGTAAGTTGTGTTAGCCATTCTAAATATTTTTATTGTATTTTTGTTACTGAAATTAATTTTAGCTTAAAATGCTGCGAGTTTGACTATGAGTCAAATATGAGTTTGATTACGCAACGACGACGAAACGTTACTGGCTGGTGTCAGTTCGCGCGCCGAGCGCGAGCGCCCTCTAATCAAAATTTGTACGGTTAGTCAGGAACTCAAGATGGCTGAGGGAGGTACTCAGGCGACGTTATGCAGGTATGTGCAGTTTACGTAATTTATCGTCCATTGGGTCAAGTTACGGCGCTTTCAAACCGCCGCAGCTTGAACACAATACTTGCACAAAGTCCACCGTTTTTTTCGTTGAAAAAATCTTCACTGCCTCTCGTGAAGTACCTTACCAGCGTTCGATAGGTCGAATCACAACGTTCGCTGAGCAGATTGTTCGTCGAAACGCTCGGTGGTGACACGTCTATTGTCGTCAAAACCTTTCAGGATATCGCTCGAAATACTCTCCGTTGCGTCGTCGCGGCGAATCGACATTGTTGCGTGACGGAAACATACGTAACCGCCTTAAGTTTCGTGTTCGTGCCTCGTTCGGCAGAAACGGCGAGTCGCGTTTGTTTGAAGTGTTTCCGACGTGTGCGGTGGGCAGGAAATTATAGCGGCATGTTTATCTCATTCGACCTCGGCGTCAGCGAGCTTGAAAGCTCGTAGACGTTCACGCGAACGCGTCTACGTGGTTCCCTTGCGGTCGGCCCGTATGTAACGCGCCCAGATTGTGACTGACTGACTTACAAAATCTGGCACACTTCCGACACAGAACGGAAGGTGGAAAGCGACGGGTCGGGTTGTGCTTGCTGCGTGCTGATCTTGTCAGTTGGGATAAAAATCGCTCCTAACTTGCAGTTTCTGGGCGCATCGTGGTGGAGAGGCGTGTTTGGGAATCAAAATAAAATAGAAATGTTTGTTTCGGGAAGTGCGGTTGGGACAAAATGAGTGAAAGGAAGGGCGCTTCTCCGCGTCCTAGAATTTCATTTTCTTTTGTGTCGCGGCGGAAGCAATTTTTTTACGCGTTCACTAGCCGTCGTGGTCTTGTGACAGGGCTGAAGTCCCACCCTTTTTCGAAAGGATAAGTTGTATAGTGGTATAGCACGCCCTATCGAATTCTTTCCATTAATGCTTACGCGCTCTACTCGGAGCGTGTGCATGTTCGAATGGCTTGACATGTTCGACCTCCGTTATTTCATTTCTACTTCCGAACCGAGATGGCGCCACTATTCTGCTTACTTCTGACAGATGCGTCAGTAGCTACAGAATGGCCGCGTCGTTTATTTGACGCGGGCTGATTACAATTCCGATCACGATGTTTACAAGCTGTTAAAGAAATTCATTGACACTTGGTTCTTTTTGTTTTCGCTTCTCAGTAAAAAAATAGTGGGCAAAAGTTTTTTTTTTTCATGAACTGTATGCAGGTTCTATATAAATGTGTGTGTGTGTTTTTACAAGCAACTAGAAAAGTTTAACTTTATTTTGTTCTATGTATCTTTTTTTTTGTATGTGGCATTTGCATATGTGGTCGCTTGCATTACAAGTTAAAAAAATGACAACACCGTGATGAATGGTGAATTAAAATATTTTAAATAACTGTTTTAATTTCTTTTACTGCACTTTTCGAGTTAACCTATGTGCGCAAACTACACAGACTGGATATTGTCAATTGATTTCGAGAGAAAACAGGGAAAGAAAATCATATTTCTTTCAAACCTAAATTTAAATATTAAAAAAAAAAAAAAAAAAACTTAATGGCTATAACATTTATCTGCAATCCTGGAAATCTTTATTAAGTTATCCAGAACTGCAGGCACAGGCCATTGGAAAGAGATGACTTGATGTGCCTGCCTGTGGTAGACTTTGGAAAACCATGAATTGAGCCCTGTTTATTATGTAACAGTTTTGGGGGTGATATAATAGCTTTATTACCTTTAAACTCTGTATGCCTATTACACTTCAAATGTCGCAGCCTTCTCAGTCCTTATTGTTTTTATTGCCCTAAAATATTGTCTGACAGAAAAGGTTTCTTTGACTTCCTGATTGGCATAAATGTCACTGGGAGTTGGGCTTTGGCCAAATGGGATCAACCTAAGCCACTGTCATCATCTGCTGGAGAAGATAGTGCAAGATGCTCACAAGGGGACCTCTCATTGATACATTGATAACAACCACTGCAATTGATCTCGTCGACAGTAAATAGCCAACATCCCCATCCGTCACTTTTATGAATGCAACTAACCTAGTTTCTACCAACCCTTATTACGGGCAAAAGTGAAAGAGCACAGTGTTACAATTTTGGAGGAGTTTGGCAATTTTATTTTTAGCAGATTCATGTGTTCTAGCATTTTGCTTACCACAGCCACTGAAATGCCTATCACATTCCTGTTATGGCTGTCCCCAAACTCCTGCCTCCCTATCTGCCAGCTCCTTGTTCTGCCTGTTATGTCTACCCATGTTTGGCAAAGTAACATATTTCATGGACCGTGCAGGGAAATTTCCCACTTTAGGCATTGCATGCCAGCGACACTGCGATGTGCGGATCGTTACATTGCGCGCACGCTGCTACGCTGCTTGTAAACATACGGGTATTGAGATTGTCTGCTATCTCCGGCTTTGCGGCTGATAGTGGGTTATTGCAACCCCTGGAGTGGGCTTCTCTTCAGATTTCTTGGCACGCTGCGGGCAATGCTGCCATGATGCGAGATAGTCACCTATTGCAGAAGTCAAATCCCCAGCCCTATTTTCAACATTATTTGCTATTTGTTTTGAAAAAATGTGCCGAAAAATAGTCCACTTATTATAGTCCGTTGCAACTCAAGAAGGTAGGGCGAGGGCAAGACGGGCCGGGCAGGGGGAAGCGGACGGAACGCTAAAGAGAGAAGGCGGTTTCTCTCTTCTCCAGCGTTCCGACTGCTTCCTCCTCCCTGGCCTATCTTACCCTCGCCCTACCTTCTAGAGTTGCAACGGACTGTAGTAATTGTAGAACCCTGGCCAATGATTACCTCAGCAGAATTGGTATACTTAGCCATGGCGGGAGATGAGCGAACGTTGCTGACTGGGAAGAACACTTGTCTTTAGTTCAACGCCCCTCCTTGCATCCACAAACGTTTGCCAATCATAAAAAAAAATTTTTTTAGTGATTATTGAAAGTTAGCTTACTCCCTATTTTCACCCGATTTGCCGTCGATTTTAGGTGAGCTATCTAAGAATGTTACGGTACTTATGCACACATTAGTCGTCTTAAATGTAACAGTTGTCACAATTAGTTGTCACAAATGTTACATTGCTTGTAAAACAGAAAGAAGTTTCTGTACTCACTCATCTCTTAGGCCACTGAAGAGGCGGTTGATTTTGCAGTGTGTACTCGGGTTGCCTAGCTGATTGTCGGAAAACATTTTCTTGTGAGCTGCCTTTTGCCGTTTCTAAAGCTTGGTTAGTTTTTATTTCGGGACATTACAGAAACACAGTAACTGACAGAATGAGAACGGGAGAGTGTACCATTCAAATGCTCGGCTTCTAGCTTGTGCACCATGACTTTCACCACGCTCTGAAAACGCGATCGACGTGCACGAAATGCCGAAGCGTTGTCGAAGCTAGGAAGCTTGTGCTGGAGGCAGTACAACTGGCTATGTAGTGTCCTTTGGAAGTGAGTTGTCTATAGGTGTATTGCGGTTCCTATTTTTAGAGCGCAGCTCTTACGCGCTCGTTTCTGCATATAGCGGTGTTGCCGTCGGCGTATCTGACCCGCTAAATTTAGCGGGAAATTGAATTGGTGTTGAGGTCACGTGACTTCAATTTTCCCGCCAAATTTAACGGGGAAAATGATGTCACATGACTTCCACGTCACCCACAAACAAATTCAGTTTCTCCACTATATTTAGCGGGAAAATTGAGGTCACGTGACCTCAACACCAATTCAGTTAACTGCTAAATTGAATGGAGGGGCGAGTAGGAGGGAGGAGGAGGGGTGTACCCTCCTCGTCCTCTTTTTCAAGAGCTGTGCTCTAATTTCGTGTTACAGGTTTGCAACCATCTCATTTTTTTTCCTTCTTAGTTTTTAACTTTCGGTAATTGTTTTTTTTGTAGGGAGCTTCCTTGTTCGTACACTTTCGGGCAGCAACATTAAGATTCTGTTCGATGGATCCTTTTCAATTAATCTCGCATCATATGCCACAATTGCTGTTAGCAAGGAAGTAATATCCGTTAAGTTTCATTGTACTGTTTCAGCCAATATGAGCCGAAACGCCGCTCCAGGTGGCGCATGGTACTATCTGAGCTGCCTGTCACATTTTTCTGCAAACTGCAATGCACGCTAAGACCAAGACAACTCCCGTCCGGTGCTCACTGCGCCACTCTGCTACTGAGACAGCAGTTGTCAACTGTGGCAGGACTGTTCAGATGGATGCTCGGATCGCCAGGTTTTTTCAGAGCTCCTGTTCTAATTGGAAAGGGTTCACCAATACCACTACGACGAGCTAGCGGCTCTTCTCGTCCCTTGGGGCTCGAGAACGCCTGTGTGCGGTGCGTTCCCAGGTCGATCTTCATCTCTTTAGGTGTGGATTATATGATTAGCAGCCACTGATGATTTTCTCCGTGCTATTTCCTTCTGCCAGTAGTACATTTTCATGCTCAGATGTCTGACACACTTCTATCGGCACACTCACATTTTTCTAATATGTCTGTGGTGAATACAGAAAGACCTGTGTTTGAGCGGCTCATTGCTTTGTAGGACTGTTATGTAATGTTTTGTAGAGTTGTTATGTAACTATTTTTAGTTGCTGTACTTTAGGGGCCCGAGGCTTTGTCAGGCATCACGCCTTTATCTCTGCTGCCTATGTGGTGAATCCACAAAACAAATAAAGAAAAGAAACTAAAAAACTTAATATTGCCTGATTATAAGTCAGGACTCTGAAGAAATTGTTTCGAGAAAGTTTGCAATAGATTTATGTTGTGCCACGAATAGGTCTTACAGTTGAATTAAACCAAGGGATGTCTTTTCCATTTCCTCACTGGCAGACGCGAGCGCCGAAGGGAGGTGGTCTTGGCCTTAGCGTGCAACACAGTTTGTAGAAAAATCCAACAGGCAATTCTGATAGTATTGCGCGCCATGCGAAGCAGCATTTAAGCCTATATTGGCCACAATAATACCTGACTTGCTGACACCAATAATTTCTTGTGGATGGATGAGGCAGCTTTATTCGAGG